TCATTTCCAATAAAGGTCATATACTAACCATGTGGCATGTTGGGAACACTAAGCTTAACGGAAACACCCTAAACAAGAAAACCAGAGACACAGAATGAGTTGCAGTGCTGTAAATATGCGACTAGCCCACACTGATTTCTATTACCTATGGAACATTAGATAAAGGCATTTCAGATATTATTCAAGATTTTATCTCACAAACCATTTCCTGAGCAGAGTTCCCCTACCTGAGGTTTTCACCTTAAAGATCTAGCAAACAGTAAAGCAATTAACCAGTATTCAATCTGTCATAAAACCTTGTTTCCAAGTCAAATTTAAATCCAAAGTCGGCTATGATTGTCTGCTTGGACCATCCATCAAAAAACTCGCAACACAGAACTATAAATAAGAGCCTCAATGATATAACAGACACTAATCTCAATCATTTCGTAACCCCCACCCTGCTCTTCACACTTTCTTCACTCCATATAAGGCAAGCAGTCAACACTTCAGGGCTTTTATTTTTTTGCTCTTCAGGAAACAGGAATAAAAGTTGACACCAGATGCAGCCTGGTTTCAAGTTCACCGGATGTTTTTTTTTTTTTTTAAAGCTGAAGTTAAAACATATTGTGGGAATATGAAATTATATTACCTGTCAGCATGCTCCTATTAAGGGTCCTTTGTTTATTATTCCATTAATCTTTAAAATAGATAAATTAATTAGTAAAATATTCACTGGTTGACAGCGTAAGAGGGCTGGGCAACAATAATTCACTATCAATCTATATGGACCCCTAAATGCCTTCAGAACAGCCTTAATCATTTGTGTTATTCGTGCAAAAAGAGATTAGAAACATTTCTTAGAGAGTTTGGTCCATATGGACATAATAGCATCACGCAGATGCTGAAGATTTATGGGCTGCACTTCCATGATAGAGCTTCCTGTTCCACCACAGCCCACATGAACTCTATTGGACTGAGATCTGGAGACTGTAGAGGTCATTTTAATACAGTGAACTCGTTGCCATTCAAGAAACCACTGACATGGCGCCTATCCTGTTGGAAGTAGACAAAAAAAATAGACAACAGCAGCCTCTGGTCCAGTCGTCTCTTTGCGGTTTTCCGCTACTGTTCTTGGCAGCTGGAAGGCGTTTTTTTATGTACATTATCCAAACTGCAGGCAGAATAATAAAATCTAACATTTTTTGCCAGAAGGTTTCGATTGTAAGTTAATCTAGGCGTTAAACTGTTTCAGAGGAGTGATCACAGCGATCTGTATGAGCAGTGCTGTGTCTCTCTCCCTGCCAGCTCCCACATCAGCCTCTCTGATTGGTTGTTGTGGCACGTCAAGCAGCAAAAGTTCAATTTTTCCAACTCTAACAGCTGCTGCTTCTGAAGCGCGTGTCAGATGCTCAGAACTTCGTAAGACGCTGCTCCTGCTGCTCAAAACACGCCGTGGTGCGTACCTTGATGCTTTAACCATTGACTTTGCATGTAAACTAGCCGCCTCTGCTGCCTTTGCGGTCTGAACACAGCATTACAATACCGCCACCAGCCTGAGTTGTTGATACAAGGTCGCCGAACCAATTTTATTGTCCAATTCTGGTGAGCTGTAGCCAGTGTTTCCTGTTCTTAGCTGACAGGAGTGGCGGCAGGTGTGGTCTGCTGCTGCTGTAGCCTATCCGCCTCGAGGGTGGACGTGTTGAGCATTCAGAGATGTTCTTCTGCATACTTCGGTTGTAATAAATGGTCATTTAAGTTCCTGTTGCCTTGCTAAAAACTTGAACCAGCCTGGCCATTCTCATCCGACCTGTCATTAAAAAGCCTGCTGGACTACCGCTCACTGGATATTTTCCCTTTTTTCTGACCGTTCTCTGTAAACCCTAGAGATAGTTGTGTGTCAAAATCCTAGAAGATCAGCAGTTTCTGAAATACTCAAACATGCCTGTCTAACACCAACAACCAAAGTAATTCAAATAACCTTTTATTCAATAACAGTGACCTGACATTTGAACATATTTCCTGTATTTAGATATGCACTGCAGTCTGTGTTTACAGGGTTTTTCACTGACTGATGTTCTGGGTGCAATTGATTCGAGCTTAACAAAAAGAGCCACAGGTGAGCGAAGACGTCCGCCACAGACAGGGAGCCTGAGCTACGCAGCTGTAGGCTGTGCTCAGTTGATAGGTTTCAATGCAGCAAGTTTTAGCAACAAATGAATAAGATGTGCTCAGTAAAAGCCGTCCCCACACATGTCTCTGACTTTATTCTCCGATCATTCTATAATGATTACAGCCAGGGGTGAAAAGCTGAACACGGCCTTTAAATCCGACGAGAACACAACTTTTTCCAAACCTTCATTGAAAATTAAATATATCGGGATAACATCCAAATGATCGTAGTTTAACATTTAATAAATATTGAGGTGACTATGGTTATCAGATATATAGATAATATGAAAAGCATTGATAGTGAAGTTGCTGTATCCAGATACAATACTAATTTAGCACATAGTTTGGTTATTGTTAGTTTTTAGATCTCTGGATTATTTGCTCCTGAAATATACTAAAGCTCAGAAGAACTTAAAATATTGTGAAATTATATGTGGGTTATTCATTTTTACATTAATGTGCAAACTTGGCTACTAGGATTATGCTTGATGTAACACGAGAAAAGTTAGTTTATTTTTTATGCTTTTTGTAATTTGTCGCTTTTTTTGCCCATGGTATTGCAAATGATATCAGGTATGAAATATTCTCTAGTATTACGAAACCTAGAGGTGATCACCCCCCTGAAAGCAAAATATAAAACATTTGATTTACTGAAACCAACAGAACAAATAATGATTTCTTCAAATAAATCATCAGCTGCTTCAGATTGATTTTATATGATTGTTTAATCCGAAAAAGGGAAACCAGCAAAACTAAAACAAGGGGAAAGTTTTGGACCAAAGTGCACAACATATTAAATCACCATCATAAGATGCATTCAGCACTATTCCAGATGCACTGGAGGAGTTATTGGCAGTAATACTTGTCAGGTTATAAAATTGAAGATATCAAGCATTAAAACAAAGTTTGCAAACAGAGCCGCTGTTTCCCCAGTGAGGTAAAGTAGCTTTTGGCAGAAACATCCAATTCAATTCAATTCAGTTTATTTATATAGCGCCAAATTCACAACACAAGTCATTTCAAGGCACTTTACAGTTCAACCAGATCATACAGTCAAATCGAATCAAAGTTTTCTAAGAAAAACCAGTTGATTGCATTAACTCAAATACAATCCCTCACACTAAGCATGCTTGTAGCGACAGTGGAGAGGAGAAACTCCCTTTTAACAGGAAGAAACCTCCGGCAGAACCAGGCTCAGTGTGAGCGGCCATCTGCTGAGGCTGACTGGGGTTCATTGAGACAGAAGCAGAGACACAAAAAGCAGGGATTAAACAGAAAAAACATAAAAATAGAAGAAGAAATATTACTAGTTTCAACAACTGATTAAATGTCCATATAAATGCATGTGAAATAGACAAAGGAGACAAATAATGTTATATGTGAAATAAAAAAATGAGATATTGGGGCAATTAACATTCCATTATGCCCCAAAGACACTTTTTCTTCTATTTTTATGTTTTTATTTTTAATTATCCTGATAGTTATTTTGTTTAAAACAAATCTACTCAATTTCCTATTAGATATTTTTAACCCAACCTTTGTTTTCTTTAGTAAGTGATACAGATCAGAGGAGTAGCTTATCATTGAGAACCTGTGAATGACATCAGCGTCTCCATAAACCTCCTTGAACAGTAAAAAAAAAAGCTTTTCAGAGCCGCCATTGGTCAATTTTACAATTACAGTAGCTAAATAAACCCGCCTGCTTGTACTAAACCACTAAACTGAAACTGCGGCTCTCTAATCTTCTTCTGACAAAGCTCAAACTGACCGAGATCATAAAGTCAGGAGGACAGTGCGATGATGAAATAGTAGTTGTGTAAATATGTTGTAATCAGAAACTTTAATTTGACCGTAAAAGTCAAGAATAATATTTCATTATCTTCCTCATAGTCATGCATGAATATTTTCACACTTTTCAAAGATGTGAACAGCAAATTTGACCTTTTATAGACTGTTAAAGCCTATTAAATAACATTTAAAAGAGGCAAACAGTTTCTAAATAAGCAACAAATCAATCTATCTGCTTGAAACAGATTGGAGAGCAACAGTTAGATTGCTAAAATAGATCATCTCTTTACAACCAGGAGCGATTGTATGAAAAAACTTGACCTCTCCACCCAGTAACAAACATAAACTCATACAAATGGAGACTGTGGATCGCTTCCCTCCCAAAATGACTCAGAAGAAGTGAAGACATGACAAAGTTCCCTTTTTTCTGGGAGAAAAAGTTTCACATAATGACTTCTGAAACTTTGCAGTAATGACTGGTTTACTGACTTAATGGTTACCCACGCAAGATTTAGATAACAGGCCAGAGACATCCCCTCCTTATTCCTCCAGCGGAAAGCCTTTATTGATCTAATCTTAAGTTATATATTAATACACGCGGAAAGATATGTGATCTTTGGACCGTTTCCATTCAGTCCACACCTTGAATGAACAAATATATTTCAGCTTTATTTCCAAAAGCTCACCCAAACCTATTAACACCACACGATCCTGAGTAATAATTACTTTTCAAGCCATCGACAAAGTTGGGAAAAGTGGTCATTTCCAGCTTTAGCCACCTAGCTAAGACGTTAGCTTCCAAACACTACGGATATTTCACTTTTTAACCGAGGATAACTTTATTTATTTTTTGTTTAACCACAAAACAGTCACCGGTTTCATAACTCCCCCGAAAACTTTTTCCTATTTCTTTACTTTTTTTTTTTCTTTTTACCATGAAGTCGGTTTTAAAGCGTCTGTTAGCAAGAGTGGCAGGAAAAGTAGCCAAAACCCACACAACGAGCTTTAGCCATTCAGCAAAGTGTAAACAGAGACAAGTTGGAAGTGAATTAAAAACGTACCCGACGGTAGCTCCCCGCTCTGCGCTAACTTTTGCGGTGACTCGGTGTTTAGCTGTACTCCAGGAAATATGTGTAAGGCGGTGCGACTGTGTCAGAAAGAAAGTGCCCACCGTGTCCTCAGACACCGACAGCTGGAAACTCCGTACCGGAGATAAAACAACAACATGGCAGCGCCGCGATGCGTTCACGGCCCACCGGACGGGTGGGAAATGGAGAAACCACCTGTGCTAAGAATGTTCTGAAACAACAAAACTGAGTGCAGTTCAGTAGATTGTGATGTTCAAACTTCCCTACTATAGATTCTTATCAATTAAAAAGATATATAAATATTAAAGGAAAACGCGTTGTTACAATAATGTAGCCCAGATATCACAGATTCAATGTTTTATGTATGGAATTCACAATAATCTGGAAAACTAATTCATACAGAAATAAATAAAATACTCAGTATAATCAAACTAAAGTGGAAAATAAGCTAAAAAATATATATATACATTTGTGTGCAGTGCAACAAAGTGATCAAGATAGTTATGCATAAATTTATTAGCTAAAAAATTATATTTTTCTTCATATTTTGTTTGTATCTATCTCTTTAGTTTTGCACTTATTTATTCTTAAACAGACTCTTTTTCATTGTACATTTTATTGAACTGTTCTTTCTGTGTTTATTGCAAGGGATTTTTTTCTGGAATTTTTTTTCTTCCAAAACTTTGTATTATTTAATATTTATTTACACCACAATATACCTAAAACATCACAGCTGGGGAGATGTTTTTGATATAGAAGGGAAGAGGGTTGTTAGATTTTTCTCATATGGATGTCCCTTTACATATATATATAAACTTCTTTGTTTGTTTGTTTTTTTATTCAAAACTGGCTTTTGGGATGTCATAAAAAATCTTCATAAGCTGTGCTTGAAAAGTTTCAGAATTTCATTTGACATTTGTCTGTGTATGAGCAACTCAAGGTTACAGTTTATTCTTTGATTTTTATGAATAACACAAATTCTCAGAGTAATAGATTAATTTAGACAAAAAGCAAAAGTTTATTTGTAAAAATGAATGGATTTGAATGCCCTTTGCCCTTTGAATCTCCTGTTTCACTTAATGAATATTGAAAAACAGAAGAAGAAAAAAAAGTCTCCCCTACATATCAAATGAACAGAGGGGCTTCCGGAATGTTTTTGCAGGCTCAGATTGGGGTCAAAGCTTGGAGCCACAGCAGGAGGTTGGGAGGTTATTATGATGTTAGAATTTATAGCTGGAATGAGAAGAAAATGAACAAAAAAGCAAAAATTCTGATTCATGTAGTCAAAAATAATTGATGTTAAATAAGAAACACCTAACCTGCATAGTTCTATTTAAATGAACTCCTCTCTCCACTTCCATGCAACTCAAAAGCAAGCTTTAGCAGAAACTCATATTTCTGTTTTGCCTCTGCTGTCTTTCAGAGTGAAGAACTTAATGTGCTGATCACAAAGTGCAGTAAAGTCAGCATTAGCTCGACCAAAATGCAGGCTCTTGTCTTGTGAGGAGATCATAGTCTAGTTCAAAGTGGTTTAAAAAGTTCAACCATTTCGCTGCTTCAAGAACAACTTAAGAAATGGAAAAGCTACATAAAATGTTGCAGTTTGTACAAAATAAAACACTTTTCACTGCAGATGTTTTCCATTTCTAAATGCCAGAGGGAGTAAAAGTCCTCATCGTGTTATGAATCACAAGGTCAGGGTACAGAATAAATCTAACAAAAATAGATTTTTGTGGCGACCCCAAGTAGATTTTTGACCCGACTTTTCAACATTGTTGTATAAGCATGTGGGGTTTTTATTAAAATGTAATTTGGCTTCTTGGTCCTCTGAACCCCGAGCAGTTATAATCCACACCTAAATGTTTCAATCCGCTGATATAAACACATGAATATCAATTAAAATATCTTATCTTTCAGACTAAGAAAAAAGCTGAAATCAAACAGATAAATATATTTTATATCCCAAAGGCAAAAAAGATCTAAACTTATAAATATTTCAGAAGCTATAGAAGATTCTGTTTGAAGCATTTTAAACCATGTTTTGCCCAGTGGCATATCTGCACTCTTATAGACCCTGCGGGAATATTTTTGTATGTGTAAACAAGAATAATGGAAAGAAAGAAGAAGTAGAAGATCAGAGCTGGTTTATATAGACTTTATATGAGGTAAGGTGTTTTCACAATTATCAAGTTAGGTCACATTTCCTCAAAATGTCCGGCTAAAAAGAGACTATAGGATGATTTCTAATTATACACACCCTGTCAGTCCATTAATAGATGGAAAACGAGGTAATGTGATTATTTACTTGCATCATTACAGCTTTACGAGCTACTCTGAGACGCCGGAAGAGACCAGATTAGGCCGCTGTACTGAGAGGAGCTCTAATCGCCTCCAAGAAAAACCCTGTGACCTCACAGCACAGCTCACTGCAGTTTAACAGTTCATTATACTGAGCAGTGAGACTTTATTGCTAGCAAATATGGTAAAAATACATATCAGTACATGAATAAGCAGAAGTGTTTAACTCAGATAGTAAAAGCAATAAGTTTAACCAAATGACTCAAGATTTGAAGCTTAAAAAAAATCTAATTTTAGCTTTTTTGTTTCACGAACAAGAAAAATATTCTGTATTTTTATTAATTGCACAACTTCTAACTGATTTGTTTTCTGCCCGACTATGCTCATGGTTAACTGCTTCTCTGCTGCTGTGGACGAGGTGCATATGTTGCACTCCCAAAACAGAAAGGACTCCGTCTTCGTTTTTGTCAACTTTATTTGCCCCACGCTACACGTTTTTCTTTTTTTGTTTGTTCTCTCTGGAGCAGCCGGGCATGAACACGCAGATCAAAAACCATCACACACTCTAGCCTTATTCTTCTTCTCTGAAAACTCCCGCCACTAACACTGACGTAGAGCCTAGATCAGATATGCGTAAACAATAGTAACTAGATGCGATGTTCTAAATAACAGCATTGACCAAAAAAAAATAACGGTCACATCGAACAAATCAATAACACAGCGACCAAATATTATATATCTAAATAAAATATGTTCAGGGTGCAACACATAGTAGCTTTATGGCAGATTGAAAAAAAAAGTTTTCTCTATCAGATTACTCCTACTTTTAGTTTTCACACTCTATACTTCAAACAATAAAAAATATTTTTACATAAGACAAAGGTAACCTATATAAATACAAAGGAAACTGTGGTATTAAATTAAACAATTAAAACCTCCACACTAGAATATTTTTGCAAAGAATTGGGAATTCCTTCTCAGTGATTGAAAATGACTGGAACAACCAGTCAAAATTCAATAAACGTAGCAGCCCCTGTAAGTAATGCTGCAGTAAATCATATTTAGATTTTTCTCACCCATGACCATGATGTAGCTTTTTTTTAAATAGAACACGGGTTAAAATTTAAAATATTCCCATTATCAGGACTCTGACAAAACCCCGGGACCAATATCTGCCTGCTACAAAAGATTTGTCATAAAGGATTTAAACCCAAATCGCTTTGTCTAAAATGCAACAGTTCTAACAGCTGTTCATCCATGCACTATGATGCTATAATATACAATACGATTACAATATGATTATTTCAAACATTTATTGCATTTAGTAATAATAATAATAAAAAAAATCATCATTGAACCTTATTAATCTCTCGCTTGAGAAAATGTTAAGCTTTATGTTTGGGCTTTACCACTGCTCTGCAGAGTGGCCTGGTTTGTCCTTTTAAGGTTTTTCCACCCTGTGTGATGGACGGGGGGGTTACCATAAGGCAATCCGAGGTAGTTGCCTAGGGCCCCAAGTTCCTGGGGGCCCCATAAAACTCTGTTTACATGGTTAATATAACTATTTGTGCACATTAATTATGTTTTTGATAAAAATAATTTCTCTAAAATGTCATCAGAACGCTTATAATATTAAGTGAATATGTCCATGCTATTGCAAATGATATCAGGTATGAAATATTGTCTAGTTTAAAACTTTAGTATTGTAGGAACCATAGAGGTGATCATCCCCTAAGCAAATGATAAAACATTTGATTTACTGAAACCAGATATTTCATCAGAAAAACAATCAGCTGCTTTAGATTGACTTTGTACGATTAATTGTTTAATCAGAAACCAGCAAAGCTAAAACAAGGGGCAAGTTTTAGACTGAAAGGCACAACATATCGAATCACTATAGCCACCATTAGATGTGACCACCATTGGATCAGTCTATTTGCTGCACTGGATCAGTCTATTTGCTGCAAATGTTTAAAAAGGTCCAAACAGACAGCAGCAAACCATTTCAAAACAAACAGTTTAAAGAGCAGTGTTGACAACTTAGCGCTTTTGTCGCTATATTTAGCAACTTTTCAGGATGCTCTGGTACATTTATTTCAAAAAAGCTCCTAGCGCCAAATCTGGTGACTTTTTTCTGCTACTGGAGACTTTGGCAACACCATCTAAAAGCAGCGAACTCTGCTCTCCAGAGCAAGTAGATTGGTAACCCCGCCTCCTGCTCTCCTCTATCTTGTCTGCTGTCATGATTCATGCAGCTATTATTTCATCCAAATGAAAAATGGAGAACAGATAAGCAGATCATGGCTTGTCTACAGTGAAAAGAAGGACTGGGTTATTTACTTTGGCCTTTTTGGAAACACAGGAAGGAGCAATCAGCTAAGTGAGCTTAGTTCTTGGAAAAAAATCTTTCATTCCTTTTGAGACAGCATGAAAAGTCAGCTGAGTACAAAAGATTGAGAGGAAAACAACAAGAAAAGGGACAAGAAGAGAGGGACAAAACCAAGAACAAATAATGGATGTGTATTCTATTAAAATTTCTGTAATGGGACTGTTCTATGTGTTGTCTTCTGAATTCAGAGGATGCACTGCCTGTCTTGGGCTAGGGCCCCAAATTGGATATGTTGGACTACATTGCAAAGCAGAGTTCAAGAACTTCAAGGTTAAACTTTGAGATTATAATAAAATATTAAATATTAAACAAAGAAAATAACATAATGCAAACAGAAAACAAAAAAAGGAGCATGGACATGGAAACCATCAAAATAGACAGAGACGTTAGCAAGGAGAAGTGGAAAAGCAACTGCTTTAATACAATGAGGAATGGAGGGATAGAGGGAAGCAAGACAGACAGGTGA